ATCCAATCCCAAAAATTCCAACTTTCTCAAAAAAACTAAATAAACATCCACTGCTTGACCTAATACTGGATATTGAAAGATAACACTTCAACAAGAACATCTACTGAATATCTGTTTACTTGGGATTTCCAACAAGAAGCTGAAAACCCACGATCATATATTGCATAAAAGCTAACATCTTGTTGAAATTCCTAACCACACCCATCTTAGAAGCAACTATACCATAGCTGCAACTTTGCCCCCTGGTAGGCATGAATGCCAACCATCATTTGCTTTTCCTCTTTAATTCTGAACCATATAAGTTCTATAACTAGATTCAAAACCAATTTCTTCTGTGTTAAAACTGAATGCCAACACCGCACTCTTTTAGTTCCCAAATTAAAATACCCATTAACCAATGCCTTTTACTGATTAATTCAAGCATAAATCTCCATAAAATCATTCATTTCTTGGATCTCTTGCACATTGTTTTATACTAGCTTTTAACCCAGAATTTCCTTCACACTTAAACCATATTTTCACAATTTTCTGCCAATAAAATACATGCAAAGATAACAGAAAATACATTGACTGAGTGGGATATATATACATAACCACGTTGTATGAGTCCATTGTGTACAGAACCGGCAATTGAATCAAATCATTAACAGATCACATAAAAAGGATAATGTACATAATCTCATCAGCAATCAATTAAGACGAAATTGAAACCACAATAAAACAAAGGTAGAAAATCATAGACTAAAATCCCTTAAAAATTAATGGATTAATTTCATTATTTTCAGTTTACCTCAGCCATTTGACGAGACGGGATCGATCGAAAATGATGTGAAAATGAGACAGAGCACTTTCTTCTGGTCGGCGGGAGAGAGTGTTGGAAACTAGAATTGTTACGTTTTGTTTCAATGATTAGTAGCAGTAGAATTAGCTCAGATTAGTTTGCAACCCTTAATATTTTCTTAGTTTTTACTTTTCGCCCTTCACCTTTTAGTTTTTGACACATAGCCCCCAACTGTCTTACAAAAGCTCTGGTAAAAATATTTTTTTTTCCCAAAATAAGGTTACATATACCTTACAATTGCAAGATCAGTACAACAAATTAGTTGTCATTTAATTTACAACTAATACCCGCAATTGATTTAGAGAAATGCCAAACTAGAAATAGAGCAATCTCATAATTAACTTGTATACAACTTATACACTTAATTTAATTTAATGGAAAAGGCATTCTTCATGCGTTTGTTCAAGAAAAGTAAATCATGAGGGAAAAGAGCAAAAAGAAAATGAGAAGGCAAAGGTGATTTATGCATTATTCCTTGGTTTGGCAGTTTTTTTTTTTTTTAAGTCACAAGTATATTAGTAGAATTTTCAAAACTATGACAAACGGGTCATTTTGAATCTCTTGCTCCCAATTTATGCATAGGAAAATAGTTCTTGAAATACATTTAGCTCCAAATATAGTGGTTAAGAAAAATTAAGGGAATAAGTGGAGCGCTGATTTTAAATATAAGGGAATAAGTGGTTAAGAAAAATTAAGACTACGCGTGGGTAAAAATTGAAGATATATTAGAAGTATCAACAAAACGTGTTTATTTTGCATGTTGGAGACACACAACTCTAGACTTTTTAGCCAATTTCCTAATGTGTGGATTTTTTGGTATGAAGTTATATAAGGATGGGAAAATTTGGAGATTAGTTATTGTTTTTGGCAATTGATGAACAACAAAGAGGTAAAAGAGTGATAAACCACATAAATATGAGGAAATTATAATGGTAAACGCAAAATTAGGAGGAAAACTTATAATTAAGCTTTCTCTAATCAATTAACTGTCTATTTTAGGTAGCATATCTTTTATTCTTGCTCCCACAAAAAAAAATTTTTTTGTTGTAGAATAGCTCTAATTCTCATTACTTAAATCCAGCCAAATCCCTATAATACATATATTTAAAATATCATATCTCTATATTTTTTTCTCATAAGTTGCAATGATAAACCTCTTCGAGTATTCCTATCTTCCACATGTTTAGGTGAAATTTCTCTGATAGGCTCCGGCTTTTTCCGTTTAATAGGTCTCCATATTTAAGAGGAAGTTTGGGTTTTATATTGTTAGAATTTCAATTTTTGCTATCCATTCTCTTAAAAGAAGTTAAATCATATTATTAACGATAATTTTTAATGCTTTTAGTTTACAAGAAGATGATGGCTAACAAGTAGCAGCATGTTCTTCAACTAATGATCAAATTACGAGACAGTGATACTTTATTACAAGGTACCACTACATCAGTAGATGTGTTACTGCTGTTTCTAAAAATTGATATGGAATTCAGGTTAGTGAAACCCTATATGTCCACCGATGCAAAAGTTCAAAGGTGTCTCTAAACCAAAGTTTTCTTTTGTACACTCTCTCTTTTTTCTGATCATTAAAAGCATGAAAGTTTACGTGTAAAAAAAGTTTTTATTACATGTCAAATATCCTTATGATGAGTGAACCCTACATGCTTATTTACTCATCCCCAAACCACCAATCCTAAAATGTCTCAACCCCCGAAAAATTGCAGTTGAATTCGCATCACCTAAAAAATAGTAGACGGCCTCTTTCATACACGTTGACTGACTAAGTAAAATGCTAAAAGAGAGAGAAAAGGAAGAAATGTTCAACAGAGTCCAGTAATAATACTTCGTAATTAAACCACCTTCATTGATTTGTAAACCATCTTGGAAAGACCATTGTTGTTCCATACTGCATATTTGCTCATGGCTGAGAATTCTGCTCCCCCAGAAGAAGTTGTAGTGCCTGTTCCAGAAGAAAAAAATGAAGCCAAAGAAAAAGAAGTCGTGGTGACTATTCCTGAAGCAAAAAATGAAGCCGAAGAAAAAGAAGTTGCAGTGCTTATTTCTGAAGCAAAAAATGAAGCCAAAGAAAAAGAAGCTAAAGAAATCCCTGATGATACTACCACCACTGCTGCTGCTGCCACTACTAATACTAGTGTGGCAGCTAAAACAGATAAAATGAAGATTATTGTGCTTTCATTAACCGTACTTTCATTTCTTCTTTCCTTTCCAATCCTCTTTTCAATCGCTTGGTTGCTGTACTTGAGACAATATGACTGTGAAAACCTTCTTGACTTGCCAAAGTTACAACTTGTGATTGTCATTGGTCTAGCAATTGTCTTCTTTGTGAGCAACTTTGTAGTGAAATTTGGAAGCCGGTTTCCTATGCTTGGACTTCTCTTAGTTGTGGTGCCACTGATTTTGATGCTGATTGTTGGTCTTGGACTTGAGGGTGCTTTTGACATGGAAGCTCGTACCATACCCGGTACTCCTAGATGGCTTGAGTTCAGGGTGGATAATGACTACAATTGGAAGGATATCAAATCCTGCTTGTATGCTACAACGACATGTAGAGAGTTGGCGTTAAGGTCTTATACCACCAAATCCTTTGACTTCACAGCAAGCAAATTATCATCGATTGAGGTACTAAGCTAATATAAATGTCACATGAAATAGTATACGTGTGCTTGAGTAGACATTACAGACAAAGAATTGTTTGGCTGGTCGAATATATATATAGGTATATGTAAAATATAAATCACTAGTTTTGCATATGGCATATCCTAAAAACATGTTGAATGCTATTGGCTTAGTTTTGCATGAGAAAATTAGTTTTGAAACTAATTTCTACATTAGCAGAATACTTCTTTTTCAATGGTTCATACACATGTTATTAGGCAGTGTTTGATACTTTAATTCAACCAACAACTTAAAAAAAAAAATTATGATCGAATTTTTTTCAATAAATAGTGTGCTTAGTTTGAGTGATTTGTGTTTTCTTTGGTCATATCACTTCTACAATTGCACCTCTATTTACATTTTACATTTACTCACTGGACTGTTTTTTACATTGGCGCAATTGTCTAGTCTGGTTGTTGTCTGCCGCCAACAAGCTGTGGAATGGAGTACGTGAATGCCACATTCTGGAGGAAAGAAGATTCAACACTGGATGCGTCCAACCTATTGGAGAGGGATTGTGATCTATGGAAGAATGATGAAACCATTCTGTGCTACAACTGCCAAGCCTGTAAAGATGGATTTCTCAAACCATTACTTGGTAAATGGCAGAACATTGGGACCTTCCTCGTTGTCATGGCTGCTCTGCTTTCAGTCTCGCATCTGTTGCTTTTTATTTCTACAATGTGGGAGCAACTTCGAGGATACCATAAAAGCAAATTAATCGCACATTCATTTTAACTGACTAAGAGTTATTAGATGAGGTTTTGGATTTGCAAGCTATTTCATCCTTTGTTCTTTACTTTGTTATACATCTTTTTCGTGTATAATCGGGGACATCTTTGATGCTATGGTCATCTTGGTTTTCGGTTTTTCACCATCCCTTGACAGAAGCAGAAGCTACCAATTTTTTCCATGCTATCAAGCTCTTCTTTGATTGTCATATGGGCAAAAGTATGTTTTGGATTATATACCACGAATTTTTAAGGAGTCGTAAGTTATCATTTCCTGAACTCCAAAATCTTGGTTTCATCAGGCAAATCACACTGACTAATTAGGAGTGGTCAGTTATAAAACCTCCACCATTAGGTGCCAATACGACAAATTTGTTTTATCATACACAAGCCAATTATCCTTATTAAGCTTTACCAAAACCAAAACTCTCCTCCTCCCATCCTGAATTCATGCACAGTGCAGACTAGGATGAAACAAGATGCAAGGAAAACCACAGGATTGAAGAGACTGCATCTCTTCTGAGTATTCAATGACATGAATATCAGCATCCATGGGCGTCTCTTGATTGATAAGTACTTTCTTCAAGGTGATTAATATATTCCTTGCTATTTTCCAATCCCAAACCTTATTATGCCCCAACCTAACCCCAACAGAGGGAGACCAAGCGGGAGAATAGAAGGGAGGAGACATAAGTCAAAATAAACTACACAAACATATCTGGACTGCAAAAGGACAATAAAAGAGGAAAGCTATATTATACAGAAGCTAACAACATGCTACAATTCTTGTAGTAAAATTTGGCTAAAGCCATGAAACAGGTTACGATAACTTACAAGGAATTCTCAGAGTTAACGAGTACAAGCCTACAAGCTAGTATTTGGTAAATCATCAACACAAGATTCTACTAAGTTGCATACGAAGGGACACCAGGATCCAGTTTTGGCTGATACATTCACCTCCGAGCATGCGAGGCATCATATGTTCCCGTCCATGAAGGATTCCCAGCAGCACCAGCAACAGCTCCTGCTACAGCTCCAACTCCATCAGGAGCACCTGCAGTGACGGAACCACCATACGGGATCATTCCCGGGGATATAGGCCCAGCACCCATCGGAACAGCAGGTCTTCCATAATTATCAACATATCCACCACTACCATGTACAGCAGGTGGGTAGAATGTATGTGGATTGATGTTGGGTCCACCATACGTGTAGGGAGCTACACAGACACCAAGCATTATTGGCTAAAGGGATCACATTGGAACTTGAGAAAATAATAACTTGAGAGGATTTCAAAAAACAAACTTGCTACCATGTGCTCTCTTCTCGACATTGAACACCTCGGCACGCAATCTTTCCAGTTCTCCATGCATGCCCACCATTTCCTTCTCCATGATTCGCATTTTTTCCACTTTCTCTATGTTTAAACCTTTTTCGTACTCAAATGTCATTCTTTTGCCCAAAAAGAAAGAAATTTGAATTAAATGCTTGCACTAATATCAGTTAATGGGTGATACCGACCAGAATAAGAAAGCCCAATATGTAGTAATCAGAAGCAACATTACTTTCCTGTTCACCAGAAAATTATTTATAAAACACACACATATCAAGCACAAAGCAACAGTTTCCAAATCTAAAAAGAGATGCAGGGTGAAAAGCACAAGTGATTGTTTCCACGCTTTTCCTGTTACTAACAAGGATAAATCACGTTTCGAACTGAAATTAAGCTTTACCACAAAACATAGCATCAAGGATTTCTTAGTCCATAACACATAAAGAAAAGCTCAGAAGTGAATGTTTCAGCTCATCAAAAAGATGATATTAAAACAATATGAACAGTTGACTCCACTCACCGTAACCTTTGATGTTCTTTCCTTAAACTATCGAGTTCAGTATTCATTTCCGGTAATGTTTTGACATCAGCACGGGCTTTCTCCAGCTCCTGACTGGCCTTTTGTACTTGAGCAGTCAGCTCTTTTCTAGCTAATGCCAGGCTCCGTGCCTCAGAATGTGCTTGCTGCAAGTCCTTCTTTACACTCTCACCAGCTCTGATGTCAACTTCCATTTTTGCTATCCTTTCCAATAATACACGAATCTGGATATCACTCTCAGTCTGCATGCTTCTAATATGATCTGCAAGCTTCTGTATTTCTTGCTGAGCAGCAACAAGATCCTGCCTCAAAGCCCCATGGGAGGCTGCCAACCTATGATTATCCACAGCAAGCTGCTCAATTTCCGCTGCCTGAACAGCCAATCTACTATCTAAAAGCTCAGGAGGAGGAAGTGGCTCCATCGGACGATGGCCAGCAGGCAATGCACCATGATGAATGAAAGCAGGACCTGGTACAGAACGTCCTTCATGTGCTGATGGTATGTGTTTTCTCGAAGTCATTGGATTAAAAAAAAAGCCTCCTCAAGTAAGGGCGGCAAAGTATAACTTTCTCCCCGAGACTATTTAGGATAAATTACCTGCAATATCTTTAGAAGATGAACAATAAGAAAAAGTAAGAATCTCTTCCAGGTTCCATCTAGAGAGAGAAACACTTAAAGATGTACCCAAAAAGCAAGAAGCAGATACAGGAGAGTACAAATTATTCAGCTATTCGAACATGCATCATAGGACAAAGTGCACTTGAACTCATGGAGAATAATTTGGAATTCATATTTTAGTACACAAATTGAAGTATTGAATAAAAATTTTAAATAAAATCAACAACAACAACTAAAGAAGTTAAACTACCATTGGCCAATATCTCATCTATTAGGTCAACATCAGACAAACGAGCATCATTTACTGGGATTAGGCAAAAGAACGTTGTAGTGCCAACTATAATCATAAATCAGAGTCAAATCATTCTGATTGCATAGAAAATTTTCCTACCAAAGTAACCAAGCCAGATGCCTTTTTCTTCCACGATAAGTTGACCAGACAAGAAAGCAGATCCATAATCATTTTCAAACTCAGAAATCACACAAAAATTCTTCCTTCTGTGTACTAGTACAGTTAAGGCCTGGGATTCCTGAGCATACTTTCAGAGACAACCATTTTGGAACAACTATGTAGTCTCTTTTTTGGGTGTAGAATCAAGCCATTTAAAGAATCACCCCAACAAATCAGCATTTTCCCCACTGAGAAGTTGTTCGGTGATACTGTTAATTTAACAATTAGAATTCCAAGTTCTTTCTTGAGAATCAATAATTAGCATGGTCAAAACTCCATTATCTAGTATTTGTCCTATTACATGACAAGAAGTCCACCTAAATGAGCATAAGGATCTAGGCATTGAGCAATCTCCACCCTCATCGAAGTTCATAATAATGAAGAAGTTACCATCACCATTATTGCATGATGATATGGTGTCTATGGAAATTTTTGCATTGTAGAAGTAACAAAGAAACGTTAAAGAAAATCACAAACTCTCTCTTTCAACGACTATTAATCATCATTTGTCACAAGATAGCAAGTAGAACATTAAAGCATGCCTCAAGTGTCATTAACATGTCAATATTCAGAAAGTTTTAATATGTTGATTATATGATCAACACATGCAGTGTAAAGATCCATATCCTACAATGAACCAGAATTTAAACGTACCATTTATAAAAGTTGCCACGTTTCACACATCGGCATCTATGAAGCCTAGTTGCCATGCTTCACACACTGCCATCCTGCTTTTAGCACACGATTCTACATTACCACAATTTCTTATTACCTAGACTTCTCAATGGCACTTCCAAAAGATAGTCAAAATATTTAAGATCGAACTTCGCTCATATTTCCCCGTAATCTGAATTTGTATCATACTTCCCAATAACCTAAAAGCAACCCAAAAAAAGCTTTAAAAAAATCAAAACTTTATCCACAGTGTCCTGCTTTTCACGAAATTATGCATCACCTGTATTCCCTAAACTTTTTCCAAGAGCCCAGTGAAAAAGCTTAACATTGAAGATACCTCATACTTTCCTATAATCTAAGAACAACAGAAAATAATAATACAACAAAAAACAAAACAAAAAAATGAAAAAAAAAGGATCAAAACTGTATGTTTCTTGTGCTCCTCCTCTAATTTCAAACCAAAGCCACAATTGCAAATGATCAAGATATGCCTATTTCACAGCAGGATGCAGCAAAAAGCTGCTGTCTCTCCTGAGAAGTACTCCTTCCGCATGCCTAACCAATCAATGATTAATGCAACACAAACCCACGTAAAAATCTCCTTTTAAGGCTAAAATCAAGTGTCCCTTTTCCTTTTGCCATTAGAATGACAATTTTACGCTAAAGAAACAAGAATTGAACCCTGAACCATGAAAATTTTTTTCAAGACAAATTTTGGTTTCTTAAAGCAAATCGAAACAAGCCCAGATAAAGAAAACTGAAAGCAAGTAATTACCTGTTCTCAGGACTGATAAATCGGAGGGTTCACTCCAACCACAGCTCATGAATTGGGAAAAATTGCAGCATTAGGTACCAACTCTCGTGGAGCCATGCCCATCATCTAATTGCACTCAAATCGTGGACTCGGGTCACCAAATTGTGGGCTTTTCTAACTCAAAACACTTATGGCCTTTGACGGGATAATTAAACAGAGGGCAGGGACAGCCCAATAGGTGTTGGGTTGACGAACCCTGGAGTGTATTAAGATTGGAAAGTAAAGAAATAGGTGTCATAAAATTTTGCAGTTTTTATTAGTATCTTCTAGAGCCCTATAGTTTTTTTTTAAAAAAAAAATTCCAACAGGGGAGGATGGGACCTAAGAAGCTGTGTAAGAGTAAGGGTATTTGAATTCAGAACTTCTAATTATAAGATGGAAGTGGAATATTTTTTAATTTGGGTTAATACATAATAATAATCCAATTTTTGGGATAGTTAATTTGTTCTTCTTTTTTTTTTGAGTTAAGTTTTTCTTACATTACACATTCTATTGGAAGGTACTTGTAAACTTTTACTTTTACAAAAATGTTTTCCTCCTATTGCAATTCCTGTTTGTGGGCTAAAAAGTCAAAACCAAACGAATTGATATTGGAAAAACACTCTAGTAAGAGGATCATGACTCGTGAGAACATATGGAAGATACTCCGTCCGTCCCATTTTGATAATTCTATTTTCCTTTTTCATCTGTTCTAAAGTATAGTCCATTTTCTAATTAAAGAATGTAATTATCTTTTAATTTCTCTAAAATATCCTTATTCAATATAAATTGTTATTAGTATAAACTACCTTATGTAAAATAGATTGTTAATCTACCCCGCCCTCCGGGGCTTGGTCTGGCGCTTGAGATTGCTGAAAATGGAACCTTAAGTCTCTGGTTCGAACTTTGCTGCCCACAAGTTGTGGAGGGTAAGGAATAGTCTGCGGGGGTACACTTCCTGCGGGAGACCCTTAAAAAAAAAAAAGATTGTTAACCTACCCCATATAATACATTTAGATTTAATCTGAAATAATATAAAATGAGGATTCATTCTTTCTTGACCATCAATTCAAGTTTTCATGAATAATTAATATAAAGTTATACTTTATTTAATGTAAGGGTATTTTAGGAAAATAGCAACCTAATTTTGTTTTTCCAACAAAGTTAACTGCTTTTTCTTAAATTGTGTGAAAGAAAAACGAGAACTATCAAAATGGGATAGAGGAAGTAATATTTTTAAACTAAGGCTCATAAAAACTATTTCTTTTGCTTTGAAAACAAATTAAAGTAGAGGGTTAAAGATAGGCTTAAAGCTCTCACACCTCACACCTAAGTGCAATGTTAAATGGCATTTCATGGATTCACTAAGGGCCTATTTGGAAGTGAATTTTTTGGCCAAGTTTTTTAACTACAAGTTTTTTAACAACTTTAGCTACAGGAACCCAAAAAAACTTATCAAAATTTTTAACTTACACATTTTAAAATATCTAATACACAAAAAACTTCTATCTTTCTTCTTCTTTCTCCCCCATCCCATCCACCATATCTTCATCGCCGGCCACCATCTCGGCCGCTGTTTCCGGTGTCGGCTACCTATTTTGGCGCCAGCGTTCCCAAATTTTTTTTTCCTTCCTTTCTCCCTCCCTCTCTCCTTCCCTCCCCTCCCTGGCCAAACTCTCCCGACCTATGCAGTAGCAGCAATTACTTTCCTCCTGCTCTGGTTTTTCTTTCTCCCTCCAGTCACGCCAACGCTATGGCTGACGGAGGAACAGGGGAACAGGGAAGGGGGGAGGCGGGAAACGGGAAATGGGAAGGGGAACATGGGAGGAGGAAACGGGAGGAGGGTGGCGAGACAGAGGGGGTGGCATGTAGAGAGGAGGTGGCAGGGGGAGGGGGTGGCGGGGCTGCAGGGGAAGGAGCACAGGGGAAGGGGAAGAGGCAGGGCAGAGGGGCTAGCGGGGACAGGGCTGGCGGGGAGAGGGGGTGGCGGGGTAGAGGGGGGTGGCGTGCAGAGGGGAGGGGGGAAGGGGCAGAGGGGCTGGCGGGGGAAAGGAGTGGCGGGGAAAAAGTAGAGGAGAGGAGAAGGGGAAAGGGAGGAGAGGGGTGGCAGGAGGGGGAAGGAAGAAGAAGAAGAAGAAAGAGAGGAAAGAAAAGAAAAAGGAAAAAAAGAAAAAGAAAAAAAAAGAAAAGGAAAAAAAATTCACCTTACAAAAACTTTTACAAAATTTTTTATCTTACAAAAACTTCAACAAAAAAATTTTTTACCTTATAAAAACTTCTATAAAATTTTTTCAAAAACTTCTACAGTGTACTACGTTAGAGTTTTAGATAAACTCCTAAAAAAACTCAGGTTCCAAAAAGACCCGAGTTCAAGGGAAGGAGGAGTTAATTCATGATACTTCCAAGAGTACCATCTCTAAAAAAATAATAATCTAACGGAGACATTTGAAACTACAAGCTGTTCAGCAATTAGACATCCATTTTCCAATCCCACTCACTTAGTGCGAAGAATTAGGCCCGGCAAGCAGTGGACGCCTGTCAAAATAAGCAAAACCCCTGGTGTTTCAACTGATTATATTAGCCACACAAAATGCTGCAATGCCATTCTTGAGTAACAAGTCAGCTCCTCCATTCGAAAAATCACCAAATGTTTCCTTTGTGCTTCACTGCTTAGTTTACACGTACTAAGGTTTCATCATTCATTGTAAAATGCACCAACTTTGTCATTAGCTCACCAACAGCAATAAATAGCTGAAATTGCATGCAATTAGACATGTAGAAACTAGACCTTATTCTACCTCGGAGGATTCTACCAGCACCTTGTAAGTTACAACCGCATCACTCTTGACCGACTTTGTCTATCATTTTCTAGCGACCAGACATAAAATTAGACGATCTTGATTAGCAATAGACTTCGGTTGTGAGAAATGGCACCAATCAAGTCCTTAGCATTAGTTGCATTTCTTCTTGCATGTTCTGCTCTTATATCTGAGTGCAGGGTGGCGAGGAAAGACTTGGGAGTGGATCTTGGTGGTGGTATAGGAGTTGGAGTCGGAGCAGGAATAGGGTTGGGCATAGGAGGAGGTAGTGGTGCGGGTTCCGGGGCTGGTTCGGGATCTGGTTCTGGTTCAGGTTCCCATTCTAGCTCGAGCTCATCATCAAGTTCATCAGCTTCTTCTTCAGGGTCGGGGTCTGGATCAAGTGCAGGATCAGAGGCGGGTTCATATGCAGGATCTAGAGCTGGGTCCGGGTCTGGATCAAGTGCAGGCTCCGAGGCTGGTTCATACGCAGGATCTAGAGCTGGATCTGCATCGGGGCAAGGACGTGGTCGTGGTTCAGGATCTGGTGCTGGGCATAATTAAAGACTCTAGCTTTGTTCAAGATTATTGAAGAGGAAGTGGCAGAGAGTAAAGATCCTCATGCAAAGCCTATTAGTAACAGTTAAATTTGTAGCAGATAATTATCGTCTTGCATCTAAATAAATTATGAGTAGCACAACCGCTTTTCTACCACCTATTGTAAAAGTAGATGTGTGTGTCTTGAACTCTTGCGTCAGTTGTAATCATTAGTTATGGAATGTTTAACAGCTTCTCTTTTTTTTTTTTCCTCCAAGTTTATGTTACCTCATCTCGTACAATCTTAGTTTCTGTTGGTATAATGTTCAATGAGGTTCTAATATATATACCTGTTTAATTAAGGCGTAATACCAGTTGATCAGATCTCAAAATAATCATCAAATAAAAAATGATGAAATTAAACTATATAAGAGATAAAGCATGGAAGAAAAGAGGTGGAAGCTAGTTATAACTTCGTACTGCTATTTACAAGGACAGTCATGAAAACGAGACTTCGGAAGACGAAAACAAGATACTTGGCCAATCTGGGAAAATGAATCATTTAGGTACTAGGGACAAGGGGTGGATACAGGAGAATCCCAATAAGAAACAGAACAAATTCGGCTCCTGAATTTATGTTGTTGTCTTTTCAGTACCAGGAGATCTAAAAGATAAATCATAAATGTGCTTAAATTTAGTGTTCTTGGCATATTCTCCCATCGTGATCTTTATAATGATGGAGATCACTATGAGCTACACACATAAGGATATATTTTCTGATAGAGGAACAGTTGCTCTTCACTATTAGTCATGACAGGAACTGACGTCTGAGAATATCTTGGAATATTATTAACTAGGTTTCGTAAGGAATCCTCCAATGATTAAAAAGTCGACACCAAAAAAAAAATATATATATATATCAGATTTAACAGGTGAACCGCACCCGAAAAAACAAAAAATCAACCAAGACTCTGGCATATGCATTCGTCGTAGGTAAATTGTTTGGGATAAACATGTACCACTTTTCTTGGGTGTCCAGGTCATCTGTTCTAGCAGTTTCTGAATCGTTTGATACTTCACCCCACACTATTTAGAAGTTAATTAGAGGATTATGCAGCCCCTTGTTTTTCTTTTAAAAGTGTACATTTAATTAATTAATGTAATGATTTTAGTGACTTCACACATCTTCTTGGTTTGGATGGTTATCCTTACTTGCAATATCAGGCAACACCAATATCAAGCTCTCGATTCTAATATTGAATAATTAATTTTTATGATGCTCTCGATTGTTTTTACATTCTGATTATAGATTTTTTTTATCACCAAAAAAATTAAAATTTATAATCATTCAAAGAGTAGCATTACTTGTTCTGATTATCTCTATAAATAATTTCTATAATCAGATTATATAAAATCTAAAGCAATCGAGAAGAAGGCCTATATATAGAATTTAGAAAACAAAGCCCCAATTGTTTTGTCTAAAACAGACAGTTTTTAACATATTTAAGAACATAAATGAAGGTAATATATCAAATCTACATTTTCCCTTCCCTTCTTGAACTGATTGGAGTTTGTTTATCACTTTATCCCCATTATTAAGTGTGCCAAAATACTTCTAGATCATTGATCAATCAACTTCCAAAAAATCAACCCATAGCATGATATAACAAGCCAAATTAAGCTTGTCAATTGACAAGCCTCCATCTGAGAGGTTGACTTTGCGCCAATCATTTTCAACGGATTGCTTCTCTTACTGCACCATTTATAGCACTATAAAGGCATTAGAAGGACAATTATTGATACTAATACCAATTGTTAATGGAATTGTTACACCTCACCCTCCATTCAGGAGTTTCTTAATCTCTTGTTCTTTATCATCAATTTTCAAATTATTTTCGGGGGAATAATCATCCAATCTCAAGAAAACGAGTTTGACAAACAATTATCCTTTTACATTGTTTAGTCCCTTTCCATAGCACATTTTTTCATCCTTAACTAAAAATATTATACTATTTAGTGCATGCAAATACATCAAAAACTCTCCACTACGTTAGTGGAATTGTGGGTCGGCAGTCGGCACCATAACATGATAAAATGGCCGTCGCACATGACACTCCCTACAGCTTTTGCATTCCATGCGTTAGCTTTTCTCGTCCACAAACTTTGCTTCGTTTTCGTTCAACGTAAAATCTTCATCTTCAACAGTATTCTCAATAATATAATTAATACAATTGTCCCCCACTTCTTTTCTTTTGCAAGTTTGGAACTTTTCTCACCAACTTTGCTTCTTGTACAACTATAAATACCTCAATTTTTGATGAATGTTAGCACCAGAGAACATCCAAGCATTAGTAGCTATAGACAAGAGAATTGTATCATTCACATTGTTTAGAAGCTAAATTGTAATTTTAGCCAAATTTAGCATCAAAGATGACTAAGTTGAAGGCATTGTTAGTTCTTGTTTGTTGGCTTATTTCAGCTCTCGCTATGGTGGCTGAAAGCCGAGTAGCGAGAAAGGACTTGGGTTTGGACTTGGGGTTACCCATAGGGGTAGGGATTGGAGCCGGAGTAGGGATTGGTTTAGGAGGTGGGAGTGGCTCAGGAGCTGGAGCTGGCGCAGGTTCTGGCTCAGGATCTAGTTCGAGTTCGAGTTCGAGTTCAAGTTCGAGTTCATCAGGTTCCGGTGGTGCAGGCTCAGAAGCTGGCTCGTCAGCAGGATCATATGCTGGATCAAGAGCTGGTTCGAGGTCAGGCTCTGGTGGTGGAGGCTCAGAAGCAGGCTCATCGGCAGGATCATCAGCCGGATCAAGAGCTGCTTCAGGATCAGGAGGCAGTCGAGGAGGAGGATCTGGGCGAGGGTCTGGTTCAGGCCATGGTGAAGGTTATGGCGAGGGTTCAGGAAACGGAGGTGGCCATGGTGAAGGAGGTGGATCTGGATCAGGTTATGGTGAAGGAAATGGAAAATGAATACATGTCAAATGCATATATGTTAAAGAAGGAAATAAAGTGGTAGTCATGCAGTACTTGGACTCGTGTATTTTGTTTTAGACCTTGTGTAACTAAGAATGATCATTGCCTGCACTTTAAGTAAATTGAAGAAAGTTGAATGGTGTCGTATGTTTTCTTCCGTTTGTAGTAAAATCTATGAAATCCCTAGCTACAAGGGTAACAGCAATAAAATTATTGTCATTTTGTCACTGTATCAGTCAATTTCAGTTAAACTCCCATGCATGTCAATTGCAATAAACTCGTTGATGAGGGAAAAAATAGTTTTCCTTGTTACTGTTTAAGACAAAATACTGAGCATGGTCATAAATCTTTGTTTCTTGATGCCCTACCAAAATATATGCTTGCTTGCTAAACATCTCTCTTTTATTCTCTGATGGTTTTCTTCATTCAGGTCCGTCCCCTTCTTCTGTTGCTATCGTTTCCTCACTCTTACACAAGAAATTACTAAAGTTTTTCTGAACTTTTAGTTTCATCAATGTGCATATTCTTAGATATCAAACTAAGTTTTATCAAGTTTCTGTTTAGGAGATTTTAATTAATTAGGAGGATTTCACCCCTCTTGTGAAGGATGTTGTGAGTCTGAAAGAGTTTGAAAATGAAATTTAAACAAAATTCGAAAGTTGATTTAAACTCTTTGCGTGTCGAAATATGACTTTCTTACGTATTAAGGACGGTTAAATTATGAAAATAGTATGTGAACATTTTGCTACGACTACGAGAGATGCAGTTGAAAAAAGAAAGCTAAATCCAAACTACGAGAACCGAAAATCAAAATCAATTTAGAATCCTGAGAGAGTTTCCAACATATCGTTATGGAATGTCAATTTACAAGTAGATAAATTGTTAAAACTATTATTTATCTTTGACACCGGTTTTCAATTTTCTAGGTTTGTAAAGTAGTAGATGATTAATTCTTCTACGGACTATAAACTGGACTTAGCCATTTGCAAGGATCATGAGTCTGTGAATTTGTTGGTCAGAAAAAAGGAAAAGAAAAGAAAAAGAAAAAACGTAAGGACGTTAATAGCTCTATAAAGAGTGCAACCGAACAGGTAAATAGCAAATGGAAGATAAAGCTAGCAAAACAAATGTTTTTTTTTCTATATATATATATATGTTCGTGTATATATATGAACTTATCTGCGTCAACTTTTTTTTGAAAGAAAATGCTTTTTTGATAGAACACTATTATTGAAAGTATTTTTGTTTTGATAGGATACTATTTTTGATGACCATAATGAAGTAGAGACGTGATTTTGACTGGTGCTTAGCCACCACCGCATTAATATTTGAGTTTAATGAGTCAGCCTTTCACAATTCAAAGTGTAAATATATGGTTCCACTCATTGATTATCTTTTTTATGACTGCTTATTTTGTCTTCATTCTTCATGTTTCTGAAGTATCTGATATGCTTGTGAGTTGTGACACCTCGTTATTCTTAAGTCCTATCCTACGTGACTATTGATTTGAGTAATTATTTTCCTAGCTGCGGCCAATGAGATTTTCTTTTTTCCTGCAATTTCCTAAATAAAGCAATTCTACCCTTATCACAAGTCTCATTAGCAATTTTAAGCAACATTGTAGCTTCTATAATCAGGGTAAACTATTACTTATGAATGTTCAACTATATACTTCTTTGCAAATTTTGTCCTCAATCATTGTGTAAGCAGCTTATCGCCAGTCTCTCCTTTGCTAAATCTGGTTCTTAGATTCTTGTTTCTAGTTTTTCTGTTTTTACTTTTCACTAGTTTGCTCTTATTGTTAGTGAATATATATACACACACATACATATACATATATATATATGTGTATGTATATGTATGTGTCTATATACATATATATATATATATATATATGTATGCGTGCATGCATGTATGTATTAGTGATGTTACAGTCCTCGAGGACATGGATATCTTGATCACGGCCAGAAAATTCGCACTACCAGTTTTTTTTCCACTTCGTTGCCTCAACCTTCTTTTGACAACTTAGTGCGCTAAAGACGTGCAAGATTGATTGG